TTCCCTCCCCTCCCCGCCCCCAGGTCCCCAAATTCTGCCCAGACTCACCAAACCGCGGCTTTTTTGCCCCCCTGTCCCCCTCCCCCAATCCCAATCCCAATCCCAATCCAAATCCCCCCCATCCCAATCCCAATCCCAATCCCAATCCCCTCAATCCCAATCCCGATCCCAATCCCAATCCCCCCGGGGAAGACGCTCGGGAGCCTCCGGAAAAGCAGGAGGAGGGGCCGGTCCCTCAGGGAGCGGCGGGAAAAGGGAGGAGGAGGCGGAAATGGGGGGAAAAAAAGCGGGAAAAGGGGGAAAAAGGGGGGAAAAAAGGGGCCGAGGGAGCGCTCGGCGTACCTGGATGAGGCGGTCGGCGAGAGCCGCGCTCTCCTGGAGCAGGGACGGACAGACAGAGTGAGGAGCAGACGCACAGACCAGACCGAGAGGAGGCCCCGGCGCCTTCCCCGGCCCCCCCTCCACCCTCCCCGGCCCCTTCCAGACATTTCGGGGGCTTCGATCCCCCAAAAAAATCCGCGCGGGATCGGCCCCTTCGGGCCATTTTGGGGGCTTTGAGCCCCAAAAAATCCGCGCGGGATCGGCCAGCCCAGAGCAGAGGGAGGAGCCCCGAGCGGAGCCCTCAGGACCTTCCCGCGCCTCCCAACCCCGGGGCAGGGGCAATTCCAGGGATTTTGAGGGATTTTGTCCCAAAACAGGGGGAGTTTTGTCCCAAAATAGAGGGATTTTGCCTCAAAACGGGGATTTTGCTCCTAAAGGGAGTTATTTCGCCCCCCCGAGCGGAGCCCCCCGGGACTTTCCCGCGCCTCCCAACCCCCAGGGCAGGGACAATTCCAGGGATTTTGGGGGCTTTGATCCCAAAATCGAGAGATTTTGCCTAAAACTGGGGGGATTTTGACCCTAAACTGGGCGATTTTGCCTCAAAAGGGGACGATTTTGCCTCAGAAAAAGGGACGATTTTGTCACAAAAGGGGGTTATTTCATCCCCTCCCCAGAGCAGAGGGAGGAGCTCCGAGCGGAGCCCTCAGGACCTTCCCGCACCTCCCAACCCCGGGGCAGGGGCAATTCCAGGGATTTTGAGGGATTTTGTCCCAAAACAGGGGGATTTTGTCCCAAAACGGGGGGATTTTTGCCTCAAAACAGGGGGATTTTGCCACAAAAGGGGGTATTTCACCCCCCCGAGCGGAGCCCTCAGGACCTTCCCGCACCTCCCAACCCCGGGGCAGGGGGAATTCCAGGGATTTTGGGGGCTTTGATCCCAAAATGGAGAGACTTTGCCTCAAATTGGGGGGATTTTGACCCTAAACTGGGCGATTTTGCCTCAAAAGGGGATGATTTTGCCTCAGAAAAAGGGTGGATTTTGTCACAAAAGGGGGTTATTTCACCCCCCGGAGCAGAAGGAGGAGCCCCGAGCGGAGCCCTCAGGACCTTCCCGCGCCTCCCAACCCCGGGGCAGGGGGAATTCCAGGGATTTTGGGGGCCTTGATCCCAAAACAGGGGAATTTTGTCCCAAAAGGGGACGGTTTTGCCTCAAAACAGGGGGATTTTGCCCCAAAAGGGGGTTATTTCACCCCCCCGAGCGGAGCCCCCCGGGACCTTCCCGCACCTCCCAACCCCGGGGCAGGGGCAATTCCAGGGATTTTGAGGGATTCTGTCCCAAAACAGGGGGAGTTTTGTCCCAAAATAGAGGGATTTTCCCTCAAAACAGGGAGATTTCGCTCCAAAGGGGGGAGTTTTGTCCCCAAAGAGGGGATTTTGCCCCCTCAGGGAGCGATTTTGTCCCAAAATGGGGGGATTTTGCCCCCAAATGGAGGAATTTTACCTCAGAATGGGGGGATTTTACCTCAAAACGGGGGGATTTTGGGGTGTCCAAGGGTGGTTTAGGGGTCACCCAGGATGGGTTTGGGTTTTTACAGGGTGTTTTGGGGTCCCCCTGGGTGTTTTTGGGGTTCCCTAGGGTGTTTTTAGGGTCCCACTGGGATTTTTAGGGATATTTTGGGACCCCAGAGGTTGATTTTAGGGTCCCCCCGGGATGTTTAGGGGTGTTTCGGGGTCCCCCCTGGACATTTTGGGGTGTTTTTGGGGTCCCCCCTGGGATGTTTAGGGGTGTTTCTGGGGTCCCCCCGGGGATTTTTAGGGGTGTTTTGGGGTCCCTTGGGGTGTTTTTGGGGTTCCCCCATGATTTTCAGGGGTGTTTTTGGGGTCCCCCTGGGATTTTTAGGGGTATTTTGGGGTCCCATGGGGTGTTTTTGGGGTCCCCCCGGGATTTTCAGGGGTGTTTTTGGGGTCCCCCCCCCCCGGATTCACCTTCTCGAGGGTCTCAATCCGCTGTTTCAGGAGCCGGTTCTCGGTTCGGAGCCGCTGGGGGGGGGGGAAAAGCTGGGAATTATTCCCGGGAATGGGGCAGGGGACCCTGGGGGGGGGCTCAGAGTGGCCCCAGGGTGGCTTTGGTGGCCCCAGGGACGGGTTAGGTGGCCCCAGGGATGGCTCAAGGTGA